TCCAAGGCAGAGACGTCCAGAGCAGCAGCAGCACTCCAAAATATCTAGATCTAAAATGGAGTCAAGCTGCAGGCCTGCTTTTTGTCTTCATTACCCATGCTCAGAGAGTCAGGGAAGGCTGTGAGACCATTGTTATGATTGGGCAGACAGTTCTAGTGTTTTCCCTTAAGTCTAATCTCATTGCCCGGGAGAAATGCCTTCCCTCCCCCCTGCCCATCTCCCATTGCCCAGGAAACCTATAAAATTGAAGAAAAACAGGCCTGGGAGCCTTAAAATGCTGGCGCTGAATATTCAGGACCCAATTACCAGTATTCAGATAAACCCAAATATAATTTTGGATACCTGAATATCTCAAAAAAATACCAATAAGCTATTTTTCAGGTATACATTTGGATTGGAAATATCTGAACTCACATCCCTATTTGATTCCCATTAAGTGGAAGTATAACAAAAAGTATATCTTCATAGATGAGGGGCTGTGTATTGGCCTCAGACAAAATGTTGGTGGTGCAAAGAGTAAGCATGCATGCAGTTTGGACTTTGCACTACCCAAAACACTGCTGTGCAGTCCTTTGTACTCATGTAAAGAGGGACTATATGCTGTGTAACATGGCAGAAGAAGTATAGAAGTAATTGAAACAGAGCCTCGTGTGAACAGAAAAGCTGCTCAGAGAAGCACAAGAGTGCAAAAATTGGTTGATATGAACATGCCCTTGTTGTTATGAGCAATTTTTATGATTCCGCACTGATTCTGTTCCTCAGTGCAAGGTTAGTGGGGCACTATAAAACTAAAGTTACTGCCCTTATAGGGAGACATAAGTTGATCTCCTAATCACTTGTCATCTTTAAAAATGCCCATGGGACTCTTCACAAGAGCAGGGGTCCTGTCTAAATCTAATTTGAGTAATTATATTTTGCTTAGTGCTATCTCTCCAGCTGTTTTGTTTTGAAATGGTCTGCTTTACAGCCTTAATACACTGTGCAGCTATTGGTAGACATGTTGCTGAATTGCTGCTGCACTTGTAGTCAGAGAAAGAATCATTGTTCAGTAAAGAATGAAGCTGTTTTCATGGGCTTTAGAGTATCTTTAGACTCTTGTAGAATGTGATGATGATGCAATTAGTCTTTGTCTTGTCGCTCAACCTTAACTCTCCACAAATAATTCTTCCTGTGGCATGGTTCCCCTTTTTTGTGTTTGCTAAGGCCCCACTTAAGTTCTGACTTCACTAGTATGTGATTTACATAGATCATGTCTTTTCTGTCTTGTGCAGGAAGCTGGATGCTTTCATTTATGATGCAGCTGTGCTAAACTACATGGCTGGCAGAGATGAAGGTTGCAAGCTGGTGACCATTGGCAGTGGGAAGGTCTTTGCTTCAACGGGCTATGGCATTGCCATCCAGAAGAATTCTGGCTGGAAGCGGCAGGTGGATCTTGCAATCCTGCAACTTTTTGGTGATGGTAAGTGATCTAAATGAGAAGTTACTAGATCTTCAGTAAGTGGCTTTGTCACTTCTCATTAATTAGTTTAAGAACATGGCTCTCTGCTCAATGGAAATTATGCTTTTAATATATTAATGATAGCATCTATATATCTAATAGCCAAGGTGCCCCCTGTATGCGGATGTCTAAATCCGCACATTGGGGGCACCTAGGGGACAAAGAGATTTTCCTGCACATTTTGGGCAGTCCCCAGATGTGCAGAAAAATCTGAAATCTATAAAAAAAACTGTATGGGGGATACTTAAATCCCCCCAAAAGTAAAAAAGCGTGCCCTGCGCATGCGCAGGGAACTCACTAACAACGGTGCCTCAAAGCCGTTGCAGGGGGGCTTGGTGTGCTCGGTAGCTGGGAGCCACACACGCCTTGCTGTCGCTTCGGGGGGGAAGTGGTTTGGCGGGCCCAGCACGGCCTTTGCTGTTGGGGGAGGGGAGCGAAGCTTGGTGGGCCTGGCGGCTGGGAGCTGTGCGGGCCTTGCTGTCGCTGCAGGGGGGGCTGGGGAGAAGGTTTGATGGGCTCGGCACAACCATTGCCATCGGGAGGGGAGCTTGGCGGACCGGCGGCTGGGAGCCGCACGGGCCTTGCTATCGCTGCTGGGGGGCTGGGGAGAAGGTTTGGTGGGCCCAGTGGCTGGGAACCACGCGGGCCTCACCGTCGGGGCCAGGGGGAAACTTACCTGTGGCCGCTTCCTCAGCTCCAAGGTTCTCCTGCTTCTGCAGGACGGGAGCCGTGGGGAATAATCCCCCCTGCGAGTATCGCGGGTCCCTCTTCTTGTTTAATATATTAATGATAGCATTAAAGAGAGACATCTTCAGATCTCTCTAAGAATACAGAGTATTAAGTACAAAGGTTATAGCATCTGAGCTTGCTTATCCAAAATTGTCTGTATGTCTCTAAATGCAAAATTAACAATCATTGGAATCTTTGGAGATAAACATTTTTCTTAGTTTTGCCAGAACATTCCAGTCTTTTTTTTTTTTAAGATTATTTTTGAGAAAGGAAATGTGGTTTCAGAACACTAGAACTCTCCCTCCTTCAAGCTCCTGCAGGGCCACTGTGCCAGACAAAGGAGCCCCTCCCGCTATGTCCGATACAAAATTGCAACTTCTCAAATTTGAGAAATGGAGAACTTTGGAAAGTTTCAGGCCTACATCCCACACAGCAGGCAGGGCTCTTCCATCCAACGCCATGACCCTGCAGGAGCCTGGCAGAGTGTTCTGGTGTTCTGAAGCAACACCTCCTTTTTTAAAATAAATAAATAAATAAAAAAATTTTAAATTTATTTTCAAAAACATACACAAAGCAAACATACATAAACCATGAATTGGGGTATTTCATGTGAATAGTAATTTTGATGCCTTCTCATAAAGATTTCAAAATAAACCGTTTAAAGCTAAAAGGTTCTTTTTGCAAATGTTAAAAAAATCCACTTTATGTCCTCTACTGTGATAAGTTGCTTGATTATAGCCTTGTGTTGTTGAAATTCTCATACCATGTATAAAATCTTGACCATGTATTTTCAGTGAACATTCCAGTCTTGAAGTAAATGTGAATGCACTGTAATAAGAAATAAAACTGGGAGAAGAAAGATTTAAGAATGAAATTAATCCTAATTGCTTTCATCTGTGGAAGGAAGTTTATATTAATTTACTGGGGGGGGGATGTTTAAGTAATGGCAGATTGGAGATGGATAGTATTCCATCCTGGAATTATATTTTCCAGAGATGCCCCTCCCGGTCTATATGTTAATTTCCCCAAAGGAAATTAAAAGCAAATGTCATTTAATCGGTTAACCAAACAGCATCCAGAATATAAGAACACCACAATTTATGTACTCATTGAGTAAAGAAGCATTTCCTTTTGCCTGTCTGTATCTACTGCTCATCAACTTCATTGGACATCCCTGTGTTCTAGTATCATGGAAGACGGAGAAAAAGCTCCCTCTATCCACTGTCTCCGCACCATACATAATTTATAAACCTCTATCATGTCTTCCCTTAGCCTTCATTTTTCTAAACTGAAAAGTTCCATATTCTTCAGCCTTTCCTCATAAGAAAAGTGCTCTTGTCCTCTTCTGTACTTTTGCCAATATCCTTTTTGAGCTACAGTAAGCATAACTGTACACTGTATTCCAAATGCAGGTGTACCACTGTTCTATACTAGAGCAATGCGATATTGGCTGTTTTATTTTCAGTCCATTTTCTAATAATCCCCAATGTAGAGTTTGCCGTTTTCACCATTGCCACACACTTTCACAGCCCAAGATGCCTTTCAGTCTTCATCTCATCAGTTCAGAACCTATCTGCGTA